AGGCTTCGATTGTGTGTCTTGAGGCTGGAGGTAGATGAGCACAAGATAGTTAAGAAGGATTTTTCACTTTGTATTGTATATTCTTTGATAGCCTTTGAATTCCTTTATCCTGTTTCTGCTTTTGTATAATTTTTATATAAATTAGATGTATATGAAACGACTTGTAAAAATCAGAATAAAATGGAGCTGTGAACAGCACCAGTCTGCTTGGGCCCCAGTAAAGAGCTGTGGAGCCGGACCACAAGGAAGGGTGAGGCAGGTGAGAGGGGCACAGACCTGTAGCCTGTGCCAAGGCAGATGGTGTCGTGGGCCAGCCTCCGGTCACATCACGAGGCAGACAGCCCGAGGGCAGAGGCAGGCAGCCCTTAACTCGGGGCAAACCCCAGAACCTGGCCATGCCTCAGCTTCCTCATCTTGAAAACCAGTGTATGGGCGATGAGGTTAGTCCCAACCGACTCAGCAGGATTTGGCTTTTGTTGTTTTCTTTTGTTTTGCTCTTTCCTAGTGACTCGACAGTTCCATGCCTTGTAGGTGTGATGTAGTGATTAGATATTGAAACAAGAGGAAGGGTCAAAGGCAGACAAGAATGACTAGAGGTATGTTGGGATGAGTTGATGACCTAATACTTGTCGTAAGGACCTACTTCCACCTGGCATCTCTGGAGAGCTAGAAACAGGACCTAATAAACACCACGTTTCCAAGAAAAGACAACTAGCGGCATTTTGTCAGTGGCAGAAGAGAGGAATCAGCCATGTTTTTGATGGTTTAAATAACTGCAGGCAAGCCTAGGAGACTTTTCTTGAGGTATAAATCTCTCCCTCTCCTTTGAAAAAGTCCCATAAACAAAATACTATCAAAATGGTTGTTATTCTGCCAGTCATGTTAATGAGGAAATGTGCATTAAAAAATTTTCCATTCCCTCTTCTCATCAAGATAGGCCCAGGGAATGCCAGCTCAAAGGCCAAATTATCCATATATGCATCCATAATTAAACACCTGAACAAAAGCATACATCTGCAAGTTTTATTGAAATATGGTTGATTTACCATGTTTTTTTAGTTCCAGGTGTACAATATATGATATATATATATTTTATATATATATACACATATATTTTCTTTCTGATTCTTTTTACTTTAGGTTATTATAAAATATTGAGTATAGTTCCCTGTACTATACAGTAGGTCTTTGTTGTTTAGTTTATATGTAGTAGTGTGTATTTGTTAATCCCAAACTGCTAACTTAACCCTCCCATCCTGTTCCCTTTTGATAACCTTAAGTTTGTTTTCTCTGTCTTTTTCTGTTTTGTAAGTAAGTTCCTTTGTATCAGTGTTTTAGCTTGCACGTGTAAGTGATGTCATATGATATTTGTCTTTCTCTGTCTCACTTTACTTAGTATGACAATCCCTAGGTCCATCCATATTGCTGCAAATAACATTATTTAATCCTTTCTTTGACTGAGTAATATTCCATTGAGTATATATACCACATCTTTATCCATTCATCTGTCAATGGACACTTTTATTTTCCTGTCTTGGCACTTGTAAATATACTTGCAAATTTTTACATTGATTTTACTATAGAATTAACTTCATGGTTTTCCATAGTTTTAGATGTGCATGGTCTTTGTATAAATAAATAAATAAATACACACACATATGTACATACATGAAGTAAGTAAGGTACTCTAGAAATGTAGAAAAAAGAGTACAGTTCTTCCATCACCGTACCGCCCAGAGATAATCACTCTTTTGACAACTTTGTGTGTGTGTGTTTGTTTTCTTTTGTATATGTTTAAATTTCTTTCCTATGTCGATACATCAGAAAGACCAAAAGCAAGGTTATAGTTGTACAGTGTTCACCCTTTCACTGTGCAGTGATACTGGAGGAAAGCCTCTGTTCTGCTTCCCAGAAAGTCCTGCTTCTGAGGGAGGCTGCCTTATTCACTCTCTCTCTTTTTAATTAAAAAAAATATTTTTTCCTTTGGCTGCATTGCATGTGAGATCTTAGTTCCCCAGTCAGGGATTGAACCTGCACTCCTGCATTGGAAGCTCAGAATCTTAACCACTGGACCTCCAGGGAAGTCCTGTTCACTGTCTCTTATTCCCAACCCTGGGGCTGCTGCCCTGCAGTTGAAGGGGTTATTCCACGTTGTCCAGGAGGGAGAGCTCGGAGAACTGGGTCTGGTCGTTTTCTGCCCGGTCTCCTTGCTGTCAGCTGGACACCCTGAAGGCCAAGAAGAATTGACGTTTGGACAAGACCCCAGCTCTAGGGGAGTGTGTGCCCATTTAGTTCAACGGGACAAACTCTCCACCTTCTTCCTGGAGTTCAGTGTTCTGGTTTGACTGTTACTGGACTGACTTTTTAAACATTTTCTGTCTCTTCCTCTAATAAGAGAAACTCTGAAGTCCGTAAGTTCCTCAGAGTTTCTATCCATCTACCTCCCCGTTACAGACCCTGCACCCCCCACTCCCCCCAGACTCAGGCAGCCACTGCTAGTTCCCCACACCTGGTCACCAGACTCTGGAAGCTTCTCAGGGCCGGCTCCACGCTGGCACCCAGCCCTGCTCAGCAAACAAAGAACAGTTAGCACATTGTTCTCAGTCGAGTTCACAGTGTAAAACCTTCTGGGCCAGGCACAAGCTCCCTCCGCCCCCCTCTCCTGGGCACTTGGACTTGCTCGTTGTCTGACTTCTGGCTGGGAACGGAGGGAGGGCAGAGGTAGGGAGCAGGCTCATCCATGCCCCATGCCTTCCACCAGCTCAGCCAGGCTGGGAGCAGCCTCCTCCTCCATAACCCTGACAGAGCCCACGGATTCTCCCAGCCTCTAGCAGATAGAAGAACTGAAACGATGGCTAATATCATTCTAGTTGTTTCTTTTTTACCATAATGACTCCTCCCATACTGCTTTTGAAATCTCAAATTTGAATATTTTGCAAATATGCATTTTGGCATCTGCCCTAAACCCACACCTACATCACCTTTAAGATAATCCACTGGTAGCGTTCTCCTAGATGACAGTTTTCATAAAATTAAAATAGTTTCTGCCAATGAAACCTTATTAATTCTGGAAACTTGAAGCTGAAGTTTATTCTGTTTTAATGTGAACTGATCAACCTATCACACTTTGATATATGTCTCTAAGAGGTGGGAGAAAAAGATGCCCACAAACCTTAAAAACCTTTGCCCAAAACACCATTTTTTTTCAAGTAAAATTATAGTTTCTTTGCAGTTCTTTTGAAGACTTTTTAACTTTGAAAATTTATGATCTAGTTATGTGACCTATATTAAACTCACTAGAAGAGCTTTAAAAAAGTACAGATGAGGGACTTCCCTGGTGATCCAGTGGTTAAGACTTGGGCTTGCACTGCAGGAGGCTTGGGTTCGATCCCTGCTCAGAGTACTAAGACCCTGTAACCAGATAGCACAGCCAAAATAAACAAATAAATAAATAACAAAAAGGACAGATGTCTAGGCCACTCTCCTACCCATCATCCTATTTGGATCCAACTATCCTAGGGAAACCTGGCATCACTATGGCTTTAAAAGCTCCCCAGGTGATCCTAGTAGGCAGCCAGCTTTGAGGACCAGTGTTCCAGTCAATAAGAAGAGGTGCCTGCACCCCATGAATGATCCAGCAATGAATGCTATCACTGATATCAAAGAACAAAGACAATGAGTGACATCACTTGAAATCAATGAACAAAGAAGGTTACCATTTCAGATTAACTCAGAGGAAAGATTATGGGTTAAATGAACAAAAAGTACTAAAGAGATATTTATACACAGAATCGCAGACATTTCTAAGTAAACTGTGTCAGCATATGTTGAATTTTAACCACCGAGATGTTTCATTAGGGTACTTGTTAATCATGGATGGCCTGGAATGATGAAATTCAGGTCTCAGATTTTTTCTTTCCGGTTTTCCCAGCCATGCTGGTTGCCCTGGCAGCTTCAGTCTGTGTTGGCCTTTGTTTCTCAGAAGGTTTAGAGCCTCTGTACGTGACTGAAGGTCCCATGTAGACCGATATTTCTAGGCCTTTGTCACGTTGCCTTCTGTCTGTCTGAGCACACACCTGAGTCTCTTCTCTTTACCCAGGTGATAAGCTGCACAGTGCTGTCGGGGCCTCTCCAGGTGGATGTTAGAGGCATCGACTCTGAGCTGGGGTCAGGGGTACAGATAGAAGCAGAAATTCTCCTCGCTATTGTTGGTTGTTTTCTTTCAAACATTTTATCATGAAAAGTTTCAAGCATCCGGAAAACTTAAAAACACCCATATGCCCACTGTCTTGATTCTGTGGTATAGTTGTCCCTTCAGCAGTGAAGCTTTGAATTACATGGATCTCCTTATACACAGACTCCTTTGCAAGAAATAGCACTGTGGTGCTACACAGTCTGCAGCTGATTGAACCCATGGATACAGTTTATAAAGTTATAATTGGAGTTTTGACTGCATGGAAGGTTGGCGTCCCTAACCCTGGGATTGTTCAAGAGTCAGCTATAAACATTTCCTGTAGTTGCGTTACCCTCACATCTAGCTGTCTGTTCATCCATCAATTCATCTTGTTTTTTGGATGCATTTCAGTGTCAATTGTCAGTACACTTCACTTAGAAAATTTTAGCAGCAGCGTATCAATAATGGTAGTCAGAATTTGTTTAAGGTTATTTTCCTTTTCAAATGAAAACTACAAGGACGAAAATGTACAGATCTCAAGTATACGGTTCTGAGCTTTGACAGATACACACACTTGCGTAGTTCAGAGTCCTGTCACAATACACAGCATTTCATTCCTCTGGGAAAATTCCCTTGTAACCCTTCCTGTCTCCCCCATCCCCCGGCAACCGTTGTTCAACTTTTTAAAAGTTATAGATTGGTTTTGCCCTCTGTAGCATCATATATTCATAAAAGGAATGAAATCATGTAGTAAGTACTCTTTTGTATCTGGTTGTTTCACTAACATGACGCATGTAAGATTTACCTATGTTGTTGTGTGTATCAGTCCATACCTTTTTATTAGGAGCCTCTGGCCCAACATTGACCAAGAAGCATTGACCTCAAGACAGCTTGGAGCCAGGCAAGGCCGCAGCGGACCCTTCTCATGGATCGCTCAGCGTCAGAAGTCAGTGGCCGTGTCATAAGGACACTCATGCAGCTCCGTGAATGGCACTTCCTGGGAAGGAGCTGAGGTCTCCTGCCAACAGCCAGACGAGGGAGCCGTCTTGGAAGCAGCTTCTGCAGTCTGAGAGGAGCCTTGTGGTGCCTCCAGCTCTGCCTTATGTAACTGCAGCCTCACGGGGGAGCCTGAGCCAGTATTCCATGGCATCGAAACAGTGGCCAGCACTGCACAGGACTGGCTTCCCAGGTGGCACAGTGGTAAGGAGTCCCTCTGCCAGGGCAGGAGATGCAGGAGACTCGGGTTCAGTCCCTGGGTCTGGAAGATCCCCTGGAGAAGGAAATGGTAACCTGCTCCAGTATTCTTGGGGATAATTCCATGGACAGAGGAGCCTGGCAAGCTACAGTCCGTGGGGTCACAAAGAGTCAGGCATAACCTAGCAGCTGAGCGCACACACACACACATGCTGCTCGGGCTAGATACACCACGATTCATTCATTCATTTACCAGTTAACGGACACCAGGGATATTTTCAGTGTGGGCCTATTGTGAATAAAGCTGTTCTGAGCATTCTTGTACAGATGTTTTAGTGTCTTCATTTCTCTTTGGTATTTAGATAGGAGAAGAGCTGCTAGATAAAGGGTAAGTCTACATTAATTTTGTTTAAAAAAAAGACAACCAGATCTTTCCTTAAAGTAGGTATACTATTTTACATCCTGGAAGATGTTTTTATGAGAATCGAGGCACTCAGACATTCTCACCAACACTGGTGTTGCCATAGTGTTGATTGTGTAGTGCTATCTCATTGTATTTGTATTTATTTTCTAACTTTAGATTTTCTAGTACATGTGAGTTAACACTTGCCACGTGCAAAATATTGTGCAAAGTGTACAAGTGCCTAGCTCCTGAAAGCATGGTCCATAAACCCATACTATTAGATTCTCTAGGAAGTGCAGAGTCTCAGGCCCCACCTCAGGCCTGTTGTATCAGAATCTGTATTTCAGCAAGATCCCTGTATAATTCTGACACATAATCAAGTTTAAGAAGCACAACATTAGGGGATGTAAAGATAAATAAGATACTGTTATCTTTGTCAAGAAATGGGGCAAGATAAAAAATATGTGGGGGGGACCTCCTTGGCAGTCCTGTGGTTAAGACTCTGCTACCACGGCAGGGGGCACAGGTTAGGTTCCTGGTTGACGAACTAGATCCTGCTCACTGTGTGGCGTGGCCAGAGGGTCTAATTTAAAGAAAGGCTGTTGGTGAAGGAAGTAAGATGAGGCTGTTATAATAGGCAGAATATGATGCTCACAGCAACAGACATGGAAACAAGTCTGGAGAGATGGGACAGGGTTTCATGGGGAAGGCATCACCTATCCGGGTCATGAGCGATAAATAAGAAAGAGACAGGAAGACATGTATCCTTAGCTGCACTGTAGGTTAGTTCCCCTGGTAAAACCAGGAGTTAGATTGAGAGATAGTGGTAGGAGAGAGAGAGCGAGCAGCTTTTGGACTAGATTGACAGTCCAAATAAGAGAGACGGAAACTACAGTGACCCCATGATCCCTAATCCTGTAAGCTGTACATGTACAAGATTGTATGCATATGTTTATTCGTTCAAGGAGTCGCCTTAGCTTTTAGTTTAAGACCTTAGAATGTAGAACTAATAGTGCAGATACTGTATGCCTTGATTATTAGCAGTGACAGTAGGTTTTCTTAAATGGTAGTAAGGAAACTGAAAACATCAGAATTCAGGACACTTAAAGTGCCACAGAATATTGGTATGGAAGTTAGGTACAAATAGAATTTTATGTGTATATAGACAGATGTGTATACACATAAACAAAATGAAATCAGATTTTTGTCTGAACAATCCAGAATTTAGATAGATATCACTGCTCTTTTTTTGTATTCAGTTTGAACATTATCCATGTTAGGAGCTAAGACTTGTGTAAAGTGCTAGGACTACTTGGAGTAAAACACTTTAAAATTCGTTTGTAGCTTGACTCTAGGAAAAAAGAATTACTAAAGAGAAAAATTTTGAAGGGGCTGCAAAGGATTTTTGTAATTGATATCATTTTAAAGTGCTATCCCATTTGTTTTGTTTGTCTAACAATCCTAGGGAGGCATGATTTGAATTTACTAATAGTCTCAGCTAGGAAACTGTAAATAACTTGGATTTGGCTTCTCTGCTTAACTGTCTGCCTGACCTTGGACAAACTGCTTTCTCTGAAATTTTTTCCACGGGTGTAAAACAGAAAGATGTGTTGCTCTGGTGGTTGGTATGAAGGTCAAATGGTCTTCATGATCTCCTTTCTCCTTTATTTTAAAATTTAATACTCATTAAATGAATTGTAAGGAATTTTAAAGAGACTTGAGCTCTAATATGACATATATAGATGAAATATTTTAAACATGTTTTGAATTTGAGGCACCTCATCCTCAACGAAAAATAATTAAGAAATGGGGAAAAGCCATCAGACCAGGAATTCTGTCACCTGTAACGATTACCTAGATTTTTAGCCCAGAGGAAGGAAACAGCTCTTGAGGTGGCTCCAGGTCCGCGCTGAGGGCGGGTAACAGTGCCCCCTGGTGGACTGTGAGCGAAAGGAAACATTCAGAGCTGCTAAACCCCGCCACTTGTTTCTGAACTTGATCCTTCTTACATACTGGGCTTGCCTTTAATAAAAACATATTCATTTTTATTGCATGATCTGTCATTCTGGCTCAGTTACAGACATCTGATATTTTCGCTGACTCTACAGAGATGCATTTACAGAGTTTACATTTTCAACTCTTTTCTTTTCATGATCACAGCAATCTTGAGCTGTGGAAAAAGTTCAGTGTCAGATGTGAGGGACCCTAATCTCGGTGTTATAAACACGCACCAGAAAAGCGGCCTGAGCCATGACTTTCAAATCTGTAAAGTGGACTTGGTAATACCTGCCTTACTGCGTACTTGGCCAATCATGCAAAATACTGTCTGTAAATGTCTTTCAGGTTTCACTTAATACAAAAAATGCAAAATATAATTATGTTTTAAAGGAGGTATCAGGGTTGTGGAAAGAAAATAACTCCAAAAATGCATAATAATAAATGCAGTTCAGAGTAGAACTAAGTTCCATTAATGTACTAACATGTCATGATGTTACTTTTACTTATTTTTCCCCCTCCAGAATCTCTTCATTATGAGCTCTCAAACCAATGCAGCTTAGTTGTGGGAGAAGGATTGGAAACTAACACTGAACACGGTGTCCAATCTGCCAGGCTTTGAGGCTTCACACATACTTTTTTCATTTAAACTTTCCACCAACACTTTGAAGAAGATGTTATTTCCGTTTTTACAAATAAGGAAATCAAGCCCCAGGAAAGGTAAGTGGGAGAGTCGGGTCTGTTTGCACCAATGTTTCCCTCACCCCATGTTCTGAAACATTTGCCCTTCATCTTCTTAATTTTTGTAAACAAGAAACTCTTAAGTAAACCTTATGTTGTTGTTTTTTTTTAACCCCACAATTCCATAGTTTCCTTTTTCTGCTTCCCACATCTGCCCACTCCTCACCCAAATGTAAATTAAAACCACAAGAGAATTTAAACATGTAGATATATTGAGTACCTTATCTGCAGGTAGGGATATTTAAAGGAAATCATAGGTAGTCTTGAGCTCCCTTGCATTCTGTGAGCTCTGCGCTGCAGTGAATATCACCTGATGTTGCTACAGAGTCACATGTCACAACCTGGAAAATGCACAGAGGCAGGAACGATGAAAGAGCTTCCCATTTTATTGTCTGGTTAGTTGGGCCCATCACTTATTTGAACAAAATCTTTTGCCTTTTAAAAAGTCATTTGGCTTGACAAAAAAAAAAAAAGTGTTTGAATTTTCTACATTGACAAATTATATCAGCTAATTTTGAGTTGACTGAAAAATACTGCTCTTATATAAATGCACTTAAATTCCATGTAAATATACTGTATAATGTCAATATTTTTAAAGCAGAATACAAAGATAACCATAATTCCAATTAACAATATATGGGTAGAAAAGGAGTAAGAGAAAATTAACATAATTACCTTTGGATAGTGGAATTACAAATGATTCTTAATATCTTTTTTATACTAAGCATGAACTACACTTATAATGAAAAGAAATCTCCTTAATATAAAAACACAGACATTTTTGATGCCACAGCAGGAAGCTAAGAAGCTGAAAATGGCAGCTGTGTACTTATTTCCAGGTAAGTGTGTTTCTTGTGGAATAACTTGAAAGCAGTGGCCTTGGGTGATACAGTTTGGAAAATATAAAATTGATGCCTGAAAGGACGGTTTATTCAGGCTTTCATTCCCAACCCAGTGGAATCATTCCTCATGTTTCATCTTCAAAGCCCACAGCCCTTCATCTTTTGTGTATGGTTCAGAGTTACAGTTTACATTATAGTTGTAGTCCGGTCTGTATTTGTTATACAGAACCCCAGGATATGGAGGGCGCCTGTACTCTATTTTACATCAGAGATGGACCATCCATGGGTTTGGGGATCCCTGGGACATCCTGGAACCAGCGCCCCTCGGATACTGAGTGAAGACTATCTAGAGAAGTATGCAACGTACAGAGTGATGACTCAGATCATGACTGAGATAGATTAGTTTCAGTTTTATAATACCCAGCCAAACTTCCTGGATGTCTTCGGAGAAAAAAAAAAATCCCCAAATATTAAAACCCTGGAACCCTTCACACCACAAAGTAAAATTCCCCAAAATGGAGAAATGTACTGGAAGAAGGTGGGGTGAGAGCTCAGAGCAGTCAAGTTGTCTATGGTGGAAAGAACGCATGTTCCCCTTTAGGCTGAAGAATGCAAAGCATCCCAGTAATGCTCCATTAAATACTGAGCAAACTTGGTATTTCCTCAAGTCCCTTCAACATGGAGGCAAAGTGCAGCTCAGGGCATCCCCATCTCTCCTCGCCTCTCTCTGAAGCTGGCTCTCTGGGCAGTTCTTTGAGCATCTGCAAGTCCATCTGCTTCCAGTTGCTCTTCTTTTGTACCAAAGGTTCCAGAAAGGTGATAGGAGGTTCTAGGGAAGTGACAGACGGCTACTAAGGGGTCAGGCTGTGGTCATGTCGGAGACAGCAGAGGGAGGAAGTGGAGAGAGAAAGCAAGACTCAGTCTGAATAAAGAGGAAGGGCAAGGGGACGACTGGGGACGTCAGTGAGGGTGGGGCTCTGGGTTCAGGGTGTATTCCCAGCCTGGGTAAGTCAGCATGGCCGGGGCAGGGGGAGGATGAAGCAGGGGCTGCCCTGCCTAGGGCTTGAGGGTGTGTAGTTCATTCTCTTTAAAAAATGTTGTCATTTCTCCGTGTTCAATTTCTTTATCAAATTTATTTTAACAACCTTGTCGTCCCTTCCATTCAAGTTAAATTCAAGTTTGAGCAAAGAGTATTCTATCTCTCATCTTCCTAATATTTAATATTATCCTTCTTTCTATTTTGTCATTTCCTCTAAGTAATAAAACATCATACATAAATGACTTTTACTCAGGCTTGTAGGACCTTTAGGTTTTCTCCCAGATGTATAATCTAAAGTAGCAATGAGGTAGACCAGCTAATGTAATGACAAGTCAAGACATGGAAGACTTCACAACTTGAGAAGTAAGAAAGTTTGGTGAAATTTTAAGAGATACCTATGGCGGGCTATGGTGGCAGAGTCAGAATTGTGAGGAATGAAATTCAGCACTTTGGAACAACGAGATGAAGGTTACAAAAATAAAGCTATGCAGTGACCGGTTGGGAATGGTATTCGATGGAAGCGAGAGTGCCAGGGGAGTGGGGCACGTTCACAGTTAGCACAACCATCCCAAGTTCTCAGATGCCTTCTACCCACTCCCCGTGCCCGTGCTGAAATGTGGTTGTTACATTGTGACGTGTCAGTAGACCACATTGCTCCAACAAGCAACACCAGCTACGGGAAGTGGTTTTCTCTGAGCACATGTCTCTGTCTTAAAGCCAGTTGGAGTGTAAATCATTCTGGAATTGAATGACTTTCTGTGTTATGTGTCTGCTCATCCTCCATATCATCCTCTGAGCATAAAACTCAGATTTCTGATCTTGGCATTCAAGGTTATCCACACTCAATCCCAGTATTGCCAACTTCTCTTATTTTTTCCCCCAGAATCCACATACACCAGCCAGTCTAGTTTATCTCCATCACTGTGAATTCTTGAGTAGGCATCACATTTCATACCTTAATCACCCTTCTCCACTTCATTGTTTGGGTCTCTTCTACCATCTAAGATACTCACTTTCCCTTTTCCTTAACGCTCAACCCAGGGGACCTTGCCCTCTTCTGAAACCCTGCAGCCCTGAGATCACTCCCACTTATCTCAAAACAAATTTCAGTAGATTAAAATCATAACAACGGTTTTGTCTGACTACAGTGAAATTAAGTTAAAAATCAATAGCAAAAATATAACTAGAAAATCTTCAACTGTTCTAAAATAGATCAATATATTTATAAGTAACTCATGGATAAAGGAAAACAATCTAAACAGAAGATGGAAAGTATTTTGAACTGGATGACAAGGAAACTAAATCATATCAAAACTTGCAAGATGTAGATAAAGCTGTCCTTAGAGGAAAATTTTTTAAATGCATATTAGAAAAGAAGAAAAGTTGAATGCCAGTGGTATGTGTCCATCACAATTATCTTAGAATATAAAACAAACAGCAACAAAAAAGTAAAACCAAAAAGGGGATAAGAAAGGAAATAATAAATATAGGAGCGGAAATTAATGAAATTACAAAGAAAAAATAGAGACTATTAATAAAGTCAAACATTTTTTAAAAAGAAATAGAATTGAAAAATTCCTAATAAGACTGATCAGGATAAGAAAATGCACAAATCACTGATTAGGGTTTTTAAATTAGGGGTATTGTCTCAGATCCTAGAGACATCATATAATCATAATGTGAGGATATTACCTTAACTGATTCTCCGTGTAGACTTTGCTACTGTGAAGAGATCATGCTTATTATCTTGAGCAGATATTCAGGTCGATGGGGCAGTTATGCTTTGGGGGGTAAATTGATAAATTGGCCTTTATGTTGATAAACTGATATTTGTTCTGTTTTGTTTTTCAGTTTGGTTAAGGTGACTCAGTTCTACAATGTTTGAAAAGCCCTGTGTAAACTTACCAAATTGAGTCTTTGTACTTGCAACGCAGACGACTAGACGCTGGCCCCACAGTTATCTAAGACAATGAATGGGCAGGGCTGCTGTAGTCCCAGTTGGATCCTTTCTGTGGAGTAGCTAATTTGTATATTTCCTCAGTTGTGTGTGCACATCCGATCATGTCTTATGTATATTTATATCCTATATCTGGTGGAATGAATAGCATTTTGCCCCGTGGAGGCACCATATGTGTAAAGCATGGGGCGGGAAATGGGATGGTGTATTCAGGGAAGAGCCACGTTTCTCCTGCAGAGCATGACTTTCAGGGGGGTTGCTGAGGGAGACGCTGGCTGGACAGACGGACTTGGTTCCATTTGTGAAAAATCTTGGAACAGACATCTTCCTGTATGTGTTTTCATCGAAGATTTCCAAACATGGGGTGATATAAGCAAACTTGTGTTTCAGAAAGCACACAGGTTCTTTCTTAGAACTTCTCGAGAAAATGAATGTATGTCTCGTTTCTTTCCCTAGGTTATATGTCACAGTCATACGGGGCACTCAGAATACTTCCTAATTGATTAATTGGCCGAGGGACTCTTTCTTTTACAAGCAAACAAGCCAACTTGTTGTATACAAAGTGCTATGGGAGACGCAGCTTCTTCCTGCAGGAGTTTACAACATAGTAATGAGATAACACAGGAAGAAAATGGGCCAGGAGTAAAATGGCTTGAATTCTACATTCATCTTCTCCATTTTAGTTGTTTATAAAACAAATATTTAATAAGCACCTATTATGTGTCAGATCTCTGTTAGACTTTAGGTATGCATTGATGGGAAAAATAGTCATGGGCTTTGCATGTCCAGTGGAGGACAAAGATACCAAACAATCACAAAAATGGATTCAACAAATAGTGTATTGAATAATATGTGCCAGGCACTACTCTAGGTGCTTGAAACCATAATGAAAAGGCAGACAGAGATCTGTGCCCATACAGGACTTATACTCCACTGGTAGAAGACAGAAAACAAACTCAAGACATATAATAAATAAGTAATGTATATATCTTATTAGAAGGTGATACATACTATCGAAAAAATAAATAGAAAGCCAGGTAAAGGCTTTTAGTAATGGGGAGAGGGCAGAGATAGGAGTTGGGATAGGACATCATTTTACACAAGACAGTTGGAGTGGCCTCATTGAGAAAGGGATGTATGAGCAGGAACTTAGAAGAGTTTGGAGAGTTGATGATGCAGATATCCAAGGGGAATGCATTCCAGGCAGGGGGAACAGCCCGTGTAAAGATCCAGAGTGTTCCAGGCACAGTAACAAGGCCACATCCTCTGCAGCAGCATAAGCCAGGGGGAGAAAAGTGGGCATAGGAAAGCTGGTGTAGATTTTCCTGGGCTTTGTCGGTCACTACAGGGATTCCCAGGTGACTTAGTGGTAAAGAACCCACCTGCCAATGCAGGAGGCACAGGAGACTTGGGTTTGATCCCTGGGTCTGGAAGGTCTCCTGGAGGGGGAAATGGCAACCCCTTCCAGTATTCTTGCCTGGAGAATCTCATGGACAGAGGAGTCTGGCGGGCTACAGTCCATGGAGTCACAAAGAGCCAAACACGACTGAGCAGGCACAAAGGCATGTGGGTCACTGTAAGGACTTTGAGGAGCCATTATATGAGTTTGAGCAGAGAGAGAGGTGATCTGATTTATGCTTTAGCAGGATGACCAGTTCAATATTGCAACCTATAACTAAATCATGATAGGTATGTCCTGAGATGGTTAACAAGGGGGCTGAATGTATAAAATACCTGTGTGATCTTGGGCCCCAAGTTTAACCAGCCTCCTTGGACACACCAAGTCATCTTGGTAGGGACCTGGTAGCATGCGGAGTACATAAGCTCAGGTTGTAGGGTATTATTATTTGGAAATGATGCAGGATGGCACATATTTTTGATGCAGGATAGCACAAAGGGTCATTCTAAAACCCTGGATGGGTTCTAGCAGTGGAAGCACATAATTCTCAAAAGAAGCAATACTATATCTGGAAGAGTGAAAACTAGTTCTTCAGTGAAAAAAAAAAGTTACTTTTTTTTTTNATACTATATCTGGAAGAGTGAAAACTAGTTCTTCAGTGAAAAGAAAAAATTACTTTTTTTTTTGGATGTATAAAGCACAGATGTATATACAGTATGTTAACAGATATGTAGTATATTGACAGAATTTTAATTACATGGGAGAAATATCTAAAAAGAACCTTTTAGGGACAGGGTGGGTTGGGAGGTTTTATGATCAGGAGAAAAAGTTGGAAAACACTGACTTAGGAAGGGAGTGAGTGACAGGAAGATCACTGAGCTGGAGGTTAAGAAATCACAATCGAAATCAGCTTAGTATTAACTCACTGTGAGAACTTGGACCACTTGCTTCCCTTTTCTAGGTTCCAGGCTGCCTTCAAATGTAAAATCATTTAGAATGAATGACCGTTTAGGTTTTCTCCAGTGCTAAGATTGTGAGAAGGATTTAAACTGGGGCTCCACTGAGTTATAAACACCTGACTAGGGGAACTATGGTAATCGGTCAGGCATTCGGACCTATCAAACTTCACTTTTCAATAAAATAAAAGGGTAGCATCGATAGACTTTAAAGTCTGTCCCTGGCATCTTTCCTTTGATCTGTTCTTTAAGCTATCCACAAAGCTAGATTTCTAGAAGTCCTGCTCTGGTTCACTCCAGAAGATTCTTGAATGCAGCACTGGAGGCAAGGGTACAATGAAGTTTTGTCAGTAAGCTGCTCAGCAGGTGCTTTGAAACCTGTCAACCAGGCAGGTTACTGCTCAGTTTTCACATGATTTCTAGACATTAAAAGTCCCTTTACAACCCACTTGGGTTATTATTTGAAAGAGAACGATGTACATGGTGTGCTGAAGGGAAGTAAGAATTAGCAGACTAGAGTACCAGGTTAAAAAACAAAGAGCCTGCGTATTTGTGGCATCTGTAGATGACATCAGCTAGACAGCTTGTGCATAAAGTTTTTTGCTTTAGAAGTCCTTTGAGGACAGAGTGTGTCTTCTAACTCAAGCGTTTAGTGCTCAATTAGTATCCTGCTCCTAAAAGGGTTATTGTGAAGGTGTGTTGACTGTGATGATCACATGCAAGTTGAAGAGAGAAAAATAAAACCTAAGCCATAAATCTTTGAGTGCCTTAGCTTGGGTGATCTGTACTGATGTGACCATAGAACAGAGCACTTATCTTGTTTTCCTTCTGCCATTGAATCACCTCATGGTGTTTCCAGATAAGAAACATAAATGGCATTCATCACCTAACTGGAACATATACAGCTCATTTATCACAGGGCATCAATGCTCAAACAGTTGTTTTGAGTAACAAATTCAGCTCTTCTCGGATGAGTTATGATTGCACAGAATTGTTTTCCACTGAACAGCAGGGACCTCTTGAATGTTGTCAGCATTTGGAGGTAGTTGGAAGAAGGAGCTCTATTTAATGACAAATGGCTAACTATTCAGAATTTCAATGTGTACTGGGAAGATAATTCAACCTCTAGTTTATCCAAAGAATCTTGGAGTTGCTGGCAATGAGAAAACCACAGAGTCTGCTTGAAAATATCAGGCGTGAAGGAGTTAATTGACTGTGTAAGCTTTATCTTATGTCCCGTGGACTTGTGGTTTGCCGACTAAAGTCTCCAGTAAATGATTGTTAGAGACCTGTCATTGATAGCTGTGGCTGGTTGCTGTGTTTCAAAAGCCTGTTGATTCCTCTGCTAGAGGTGCAGTATCGTCTAGCCCTTTCCTCATCTCAGACCTACTCGGGTCTGCTTGCGAAAGGATCTATCAGATCAATAAACATGAGTGACAAAAACTACAGCACCACCATCTACAACAGAGTGCTAACAGAGAGGGTGTATGAGAATTCAGACCCAGAAGAAAACGGAGGTCCCCTTTACGATGAAGTCCATGAAGATGTGAGGAGGGGAGACAACTTATATGTCAATGAGCTGGAAAGCCACGAATATGACTCTGTGGCCGTGTACACTGTTGGGCGTCAGGGGAGAACCTTGGCCTCTTTACAGCCAGAAACAGGAGAATACGTCTTGCCTGATGAAACATGTTCTAAGGCTCAGGATCCCCACCCAGGGGAACCCACGGAGGATGAGGACATCTCCTTGGAAGAATTGTTCTCACCAACCAAGGACCAGGAGTCTGACCCAGAGGAGCCCCAGGGGTCTGACCCAGAGGAGCCCCAGGAGAATGGAAGTGAGGTGGAGGCAGACCTGCCCTCTCCTTCGAGCTTCACCATCCAGAATAGCAGAGCCTTCTCCACCCGCGAGATCTCCCCTACCAGCTATTCTGCTGATTATGTTTCAGAAGGAGACAAATCGGCTTCTGCAAGCCCCGAGATTAACCTCTTTGTGAAGGTAAGGAATGCCCTGAAACAGGCACACCTGCTCCTGCAGATGGCATAACTGGTGCTTTATTTTGCTCTGAGTGACCAGGGAAAGATGCGTGGTGGTGTGGTCCTTGGATGCCAGTATCTATTAAAGAGTAGGGCTGATGAATGAGTCATTCCACGGTTCACCCAGAACGGGTCAAAATTACAAGAATTGGAAAGTACATTTAAAGTGTGTGTCTTATGACCGCTTCTCTGTACCATGGGCAAAGGCTTTCTTCAGAGTTCCCTTTGGAGGGTACTCCCCTGGTGGTCCGGGGGTTGGGACTCCACCCTTCCACCGCAGGGGGCATGGATTGATCCCTGGTTGGGGAACTACTACCCCACATGCCATGGGGCTTGGCCAAAAAGTAAATGAAAGTTTTAAAAATGGATGCCAAAGAAACATCCATGATGAGCAGAAGATCAAAATTTAAAAAAAAAAAGTTTGCTTGTGAGTGAGCAGAAATTGTTGCTCAAATCCTTTCCTTTGTGACTGACGTCAAGTGCCGTTTTTCTGTCTGGTTAAATTTCCTTCATCAAGATGATTTTGTAAAACAAAACTACAGTTTGTGAAAGTCAAGACTATAGTCGGGCACCAGTGTTTCCTCCTGAGTGTTTCTAAGTCCACAGATAGTGCTTCATATATGTGGTCAATAAATGTTACCTCTGTTACTCAGCTTGCCCTTTTGACCCCAATATAACTAAAATATCTGATGAGATAAAATGATTTCACTAGTAGTAAGACACTTAGCCTCAGTGTTAATGTTTAACCCGTGGGATATTTAAACAAAGAACTTTGATGATCTTTGTATTAGATTGATAGCCTAATAAAGATTATGATTATGAATATTATCAAGACATAAAAAGCATTTCAGGGCTAAACAGATCATCTTTATGGATCAAGATGATTTTTTTTCCCAACATCCCCCCACCCAAATTCATAGTGACACAGTTCTTTAATGTGAAGACAGCATATTGGTAATCCTTCTACTCCTGGCTAACAAAAATAATTACTCTACAAATCTATGAAAACCCCGGTTTATACTCATTTCTCCCCTTTCTGGTTTCCAATTAACTCCTCTAGTGAAATGCACTAATTGTATGCATTGCTAATTTAATATGTAATTATTTCCTACTCTGTATTTTTTCCTAGTTGCTTTTGGTGTATAAATCATGTCTCTTTTGTTCGACCACAAGGTCCTTTTTCAAAAGCACCAAGCAGAGTGTATGGTTTGTATTTAGGTACTTGGCAAACCTTGCCTGGGATTGTGTTGAGCATTTGGGAGGGAGATGGGTCTGTAGACAGAGCCCTTTCTCTCAAGAAATAACAATGTGGTATAGGAGACAGACTTGTAAGTTGTGAATTTTGGTGAAATAGAGGAGTGAGCAAGCAGAGTGCTGTGGGTATCCTGGGAGTGCCCGAGGGTGCACGAAGGAGTCAAGAGAGTCTCCACGGAGGAGGCAAAGTTCAGACAGAGGCATTCAAGCCACCTTCCAGCCTTTATATCCACTTACCATTGTGTTAGTTTAAAAAAAAAGAAGCAATCTTTCAAAAGTGAGGACTGGGTATATTTTCCTCAAGACAGAGGCATCCATGTAACTTCCTGCAGCCATCAACATCCTGAATCATTATTGTCCTGATCGTTGAAGATGAACTATCATTGTCATGATCTCCATCATTCCAGGCACATCAGACCATTATTTTTATATTTGGCAAAGTGTTAATTTCATCAGAAATGAGCCTGCCACCACCATTGAACCAAACAGAAGTAGGAGGGAATAGAAGCATTGGCATCTCCGACTGGTGCCAGCCACAGGAAAAACCATTTGATAGTAACATGTGGTTTCTAAGTTCTTAAGATCCGTAGTTCCCTAAAGCAAATATTGGATCTAATTAACTCTAAGTTTGCTAAGGGGTCGTATAATATAAAATCAACCTCAGCTCCTATGTGTGAACTCCTTCTAAGAGATGATACTCAGCATCATTCAATGAGAAGGACAGGCTTAATCCCAGCTTCTCAACCCCCACTCCACCCCCACTGCAGTTCTTTATTCCATGTGGAGTGGTAATGCATAACGTGAAGACAGGTGACTGGTCTTGCCCGGGAGTGGAGGGCATGAGGGTGACCAGCTCAAGCTCCATGCCCCTCCCAGCTCCAAGGAGTGGGTGCTGGAACCTCTGCATTGAACGGGGATCACCATCTTCCTAGCAGGCTTGCTGCTGGGGTTCTGGGGATGTTCTCCTCCTGGGCTGCTTTGGGCTGGACCCAAAAGGCTTTTCACCCTCTTTTGCCTCCCTGTATGAATTCTTCTTGAATTTCCCAGGTGGCTCAGTCATAAAGAATATGCCTGCCAATGCAGGAGACATGGGTTCCATCCCTGTGTCAGGAAGATACCTTGGAGAAGGAAAGAGCAACCCACTGCAGTATTCTTGCCTAGGAGATCCCATGGACAAAGTCTGAGCCTGGTGGGCTACAGTCCATGGGGTCGCAAAGAGTCACTGAGCAACTGAACAACCTGGGCTGCAGCTATACCTGCTCTCATTTGTGCGTGTTTCTACCTGTCTGGACAGATCAGAGAAGATGGAACGCAAGTTAATAACTGTGTATTCAACCAACCTCGTACTGAGGCTCAGCCACTTCCGGGTGTTGATCAATTAATTAAAATACATCATTTATTTATTCATTCAACAGATAGTTATTGGGCCAGGTTCTGGGTGTACAACAGGGAAGAAAACAAAGTCCAGGCTCCCCTGCACTTTGCATCATAGCAGGAGAGATAACAGACGGACACATAAATATAAAATATGCCCAGTGGTGACAGTGCCATAAAGAAACATAAAACAAAATAACTGGTATGTTAATTTCCTGCGGGCTGCCCTAACAAATTACTTAGAAACATAGTGGCTCCAAACCACACGAACTTGTTCTCCAGCATTCTGGAGATCAGAACCGGGAGTCAGTCTCGGGGGGCTGAAACAAGGAGTCATCGGAGCTGGGTCCCTTTTGGAGATTCCAGGGAGAGTGTGTTCCCACCGCCCTCCTCCCAACCCCCAGCCCCCTTGCTCCTAGAAAGGGCTTCCCTAGTGGCTCAGTGGTAAAGAATCCTCCTGCGATGCAGGAGATGCAGAAGATGTGGGTTTGACCCCTGGGTCCGGAAGATCCCCTGGAGGAGGAAATGGCAACCCACCCCAGCATTCTTGCCTGGAAAGTCCCAAGGACAGAAGAGCCAGGTGGACCACAGTCCACGGGGTCACGAAGAGTCCAACAGGACCCAGTACTGAGCGCAGCACAGTACTCTTTAGGGGCAGTGTTCAAGTTTCACTCGTGGCCCGCGTCACATCTCCCTTTCTCCCCAGCTTTCAGCTTCACGTTAATTTTTTTTTTCCTGGCCATGCTGTGCAGTATGCAGGTCCTTAGTTCCCTGACCAGAGATGGAACCTGCGCTCCTTGCAGTGGAAGCATGGAGTCTTAACCACTGGACAACCACAGAAGTCCCCAGCTTCCCCTTGCCTTCCAGTCGGACTCCTCTGGTCCCCCTTATAAGGAAAATTGTTAGTTTGGGCCCACAGGATAATCTCTTCATATGAAGATCCTTTAATTAATCACTTTCGCTAAGTCCCTTTTGCTACAGAAGTTTCTGGGAATTAGAACATGGGTGTGTTTGGAAGCTGTTGTTCAGCTTCCCACAGTGGGACCGAGAATGATGCTGAGTAGGGAAGGGAGGAGGCAGTGTGGCCAGGGTGAGGTGAGCAAGGGAGGAAATGAGGTGGGAGTGGGCACAGGTCACCTCGGGGCCTGATGAGCCATAGAAAGAACTTTCACTTTTACTCTGAGTGGTAAGTGTTGGGGGAGGGCGGTTGTCATCAAAGGGTTCTGCAAGGAACATTCTGCCTGCCTCTTCATTGGTAGACTAGAGCAGAGAAAGCGCAGAGGCAGGGAGGACAGGCTGGGGGCGGTCGGAAAACTAGGCAAGGAAAGATGGTGGATTGGACACTGGTGACATCAGGGCAGGGTTGAGATGGTTGGGAAGGGGGAGCGCAGAGGTTTTGCTGGCGGGTCTGGTGTGCAGCATGAAGAAGGGAAGGCGCAAAGGCTGACCCTAGGGGGTTAGACCAGAGCCACTGGGTGAACAGAGATGTTATCTCCATTTCACCTGTGAACTTTTTCTCCAGGAACAGGTGATCCAGAAAATGTGGATCATGCAGTCTTTCATATATTCCTCCCTCACTTTCTCCTTCCCTTTCTCCCTCTCTCCCTCCCGCCTTCCTTCCTACATTTACAACATACTGCATGCCAGACACTGGATATAAGAGATGAAAGCAGCACATCCCAAGTGCAACTGTCTGTCTTCTGGGGAAGACAGAGAAATACAATTCTTTTTTTTTTTTTTTCCTGGTCTGGACAACTCTGTATGTGGGACTTTTGTCCCTTGAACAGGGACAGAACTCATGCCCCCTGCAGAGTAAGCCTGGAGTCTTAAAACAATGGACCATCAAGGAAGTCCAGAGAAACACAGTTCTTGAAAATAGGAAGAAAGAAATAATTTCTTTGTGGTCACTGACTGAGACCCAGTGAAAGAAAGGTCTCTAATGAGAGCTGCAATCTATGTCATAGGCAATCAAGAGAGACTGTCAGTTCAGAATTTGCTGATAGGATTATAAGAATTGTCTGATGCTTTCTGCTAAAATTAAAAGGCCTCGTAGATATTGTTTGTTATAACTGTGTGTGTGTGTGTAACAGAAAGAAATAGAGGGACAAGAGGGACAGAGACTGGGGGAGGAAGGAAATAGAGATATAGATGGAGATAGAGATAGATAGGAAGATGGAGAAGGAAAGAGAGATAAAAAAAATTCTGGTATTTAATGCAAAGGGGAAAAAAGTATTCTGATTATGACAGTTGCAAAGAAAAAGGATACAAATGAACACCTTTTGTCCTGTCCGGGACTGATCTCCTTTAGGATGGACTGGTTACCTGAGTTATTAT